TTGCTCTATGTGGATGATATAGTCCTCACTAGTGATTCTCTAGAATTACTAAATAATCTTGTGCATCCATTGGGTTAAGTGTTTTCCATGAAAGACCTTGGCGTTCTTCATTATTTCTTGGGCATTGAAGTTAATCACTCCACCGATGGACTCTTTCTCTTACAACAAAAATATACCTTAGATCTTTTTAGTCGAGCATCAATAGCGAACTGTAAGCCAATTGCTACTTCAATAGCTACCAAGCAACCACCACTCAAACATGGTGATAAGTCCTATGCTGATCCATGTGATTTTCAAAGCATTGTAGGCGCTTTTCACATACCTTACTTGTACTCGTCCGGATCTCTCGCTTACGATCAACATATTTTGCCAACATATGCATGCCCCAACTATTGCTCATTATTAGATGGTAAAACGTAGTCTCTGATATGTTCACGGTACTTTACACTTTGGGCTTCGCATTTTGTCTCGTAATTTTCTCCATTTATTTGGCTTTGCACATGTAAAATGGGCTAGGTGCAAACTCACCTGACATTCTACCACTAGTTTTTTGTACTTTTCTCGGCTCAATTGTATTTCATGGTGTGCCAAGAAATAACTTACTGAGGCCCGCTCCACAGTTGAAGCTAAATATCAGGCTCTTGCTTCCACAGCTTCTGAACTCACGCGGATTTCATATATAGTGCGTGACATTTGGATCTACCAACTAAACCTTCGTTACTTTTCTCAGACAACATGTTAGCATTATATCTCACAACTAATCCAATTTTTCTTGCTCAGACAAAGCACAATGAAATGGATTACATTTTGTTCGGGAAAAAGGTTGCTCTTGGTTCTATTGTGACTCGCTATATTCCATCTTCCTCATAAGTTCTTAATATTTTCACCAAACCATTGACTCGAGATAGTTTTGTCGGCTTACAAACCAAAATCAGTCTCCGGTCCTCCCCATTGACCGATTTGAAGGGGAGTATTGAAGTAACAAATCAAAAAGCTTAAAAATCATAATGGTAACAGTGTTGAATCTTCAACAAATCAATGTGTAGATAACACATCAAGCAGAGCATCCCCAAGTTGATCAATTGGAGATTTGTTCTGATTTGTCCTATACTCAATTTCCATGTAGATCAAATTATTATCTTTTATCTTTAACTTCCACCATAATCATAAGTGATAATATCTCTATTTATACTGGACAACGTATCAACGAAATGTACGTTTCATCGACGCAATTCTTTGTTTTCTTCAAAGGGTTTGGACGGGATTGAGACCCTACCTCATCCTCCACTTGAATGCTTGGTTTAAGTTGATAATGAAGCACCAGTTGCCCATTGGGCAAGCGTGTCACCGTAGCTCCACCAAATTCAAGTGGGGAAGCTCAAAACTGGCGATACGGCTAAGCCTACTAACCAAGTTTCCAGAATTTGTAAAGTGCAATGCGAATCAAACATGTAACTTTCGACTTGCAAATCAGCGAGAGCTTGCATGATGTTGTCTTGCCTTTGAGTTTTCTTTGGTTTCGTTGAAAATCCCCGCTTTGTTGTACAGACAGCTCTACGACCACGGTCGAACTCGTTTTTGCAGGGATCAAATATAAGACACTACAAGTTGTTGCATAAAGAGCAAAAGGGAGGCGTTTGTGCATCTGTTGTGGACAGATGACTTTCGAGTCTCTTTGACTTTTAATTTATGAGCTAGTCCTACGAATTACGCATGTTGTGTCAAAACTGACCACTGGGTCAATGAGGAATAGAAATTACATCACCGAGCTCTTACGTTTAAGAAGTTAATATTCTAGCATGATTGTCGAAATGCGGCTATTAAAATTATAAGAGCTGTCAATAAGTTTGGTATATTCGTTGAAATCTAGAGGGTCACACTAAATAATGCCAGCGTGAATGCCTCTTGGTATCTTCGTTAAAATCTAGAGCGTCACACTAAATAATGCTAGCGTGAATACCTCCTGACTTACCCTCTTGCCCAATAGCTATATCTCGTCTGCACGAGAATTTTTTGCAATGTGTAGTGCATGTGCCACTACACTCACTTGTAAGGATGATCAATTTTAGGGTGAATAGTTCCATCTGGAACCTGAAACTTACCTGTCAGGTTGACTCCTAATTTGTGGAATCGAAAGTCAACCCTATTGTCTTAGGAACTGCTTAGAAACGAACCAGCCAATTCCATGTTAGTTACAAGGTTAACCTGTGAGTCGATTGGGGCCTTTTTCTTTCTTTTTTTTTTGTTTCATTAAATTATATATACAATAATATGCATGTATCAAAAATAAATATAATTCTTTCTACTTCTGAATAATCTGTTAAACAGTAAAAAAAACTTACTAAGGGTTAGGAGTAACCAGTTCAAAATCGGTTCGGTTCCAAGTTCTTCCCTAAAATCGGCCTTACAGATTTCATGTTCCAAGTTCCCGAGTAGAACTGGCCGGTTAACGGTAAAGAATTGAGAACTATTAGGGTGATCTATACACAAATTAACAAATACAAGTCCATAATATAACATTATAATAAGAAATGATTTCTCTAGAAAATTGATTGCGGGAAGTGTGAGGAAGTAAAAATAGATTTTTGGATCAATGTGCTTGGATTATTACTTCCCTTTAATGATCTATACACAGGTTAATGAATAAGACCGATTCAGGTCGGTTCACAAGGGGAGCAGTTCGGTTCCCAGTTTCAAAAATTGGGAACCTACCTTGACCGATTCAGTTGCTCATCGCTACTCACTTGTGCGTGTAAGACGGCCTCCACCAGTTATAAAATTTTGTGGCCAATATACGCGGGTTGGCTCAATACATTGAATCCACTTCAATATAGCATCAAGATTGGAGGTCTTATACATGATGCAATGAAGGCAAGCTGAAATTTTCTCTCTCACATAAGAACGAGGTGGAATTCAACATACAAAATGTTGAAGAAGACCTGCAAGGAGATGGGTGTATGGACGCTCTACTAAGATTGGAGAGTTGCCGAAGTGTTTAGGGACTTTTTGCCGGTTTTCATCAATGCAACAGATGCTTTGAGGCCCAGCCAACCATCCGTCAAACAACCAAAGCCATTTCGTTTATTTCCATGATAACAGTTCAATCGGCGAACAACGAGGGTGATCCCTTATCCAACGAAACAATATTAGCCATGAACGAGAAATTCCTCAAATATTATAACAATATTTGTTTTCTTTGTTTTGCTTCCACTGTTTTGGATGCCTAGTTCAAGTTGGAAGGTATCGAACATTTCATTGTTGCACATTGCGAATATTTGGGACTAGGTGAGGAGATCTAAGTGGAACAGATATTGACAATGGCAATGAGCGGGCTTCGCAAAAAGTATGCCACATATGCCAGTCGATTCAATACGACGAGTTCCTCCCCACCGATTGAGATGACACCATCACGACTAGTGCCCAAGAAAGCGTACGGTCTCTAGTTCATAAGAAGAAGAACACCCCATAGCCTTTCGCTTGGATACGTATTTGGAAACAAACTACTCCAAATGCATTGATAAAGTTGGCAAAGACAACGCGAACATTACAGCACGAACATTTTGAAATGGTAAAAGAGGCAAGCTATCAGTGGAGGAATCTCCCCGATCCGTTTTTTTACTTTGCAATCAAGCCCCCTAACGTATCCATCAAAATTCCCTCCTGACATTAGCTTTACAATCAAAACTAGTCCCAATTAGTTTCACAAGGCCAGTCGATGCATCGTAATTAAGGAGCAGTTCATGTGGCCAAGAGTAACCGAGAATGCCTCCCGCTCGAGCCGAGCTAAATAAACGAAAACCGAACGTCTCCTCATCGAAATGAAGCTGTGCTTCACTCTTATTGCCATGCATGTCAAACTCCGACTAAGTTTTAAAATAATTTTGTTCACAAAGGAGATATTAAGTGTGAAAACACTTGACTAAATAGATCAAGCGGTAGATATGGTTGACCCTACAGGTGAACTTAAACTGGGTTTGCTTATCATTCAACCGAAGATTAAAGTACATTCTTATCTATTTAAACTGGTGGCGAGGTGGTCCGTTGCAGGGACGATTGCGACTTACCGTGTATCGAGTAAAAAAGAAAACAAGCAAAACAAATCGATCAGTACCGCGACCAAACATCAAATATGAGACTAGAAAAAGAAAGTCAGTTCAAGCTTCAGCATGCCCGAAAATATGAGTTCCTTCGGCATCAGAAAATAGATAAGAACATCACCATCACGGGTCTAAGCCAGTAAGACTAAGGGCATGTTTGGTAAGTTGCCAATTAGTGAAATTTTTTGTTCTTTTATTGCCAAAATCAGTTTGAAAACGGAAATCCGTTTGTTAAATTTTTTGTGCCCGGACACAAATTTGCAAAAAATTGTTCTCAGAATCAGTTTTGGAACAGAATCAAAAAGCAAAAAAAAGTAGCTTCTTGATTCTTGAACAATTTTTCCATTTATGATTCTTCTTGGTTTTCTTCTTCTTTCTTGGTTTGTTCTTTTTCTTCTTCCTGGCCACCAGTGACCGGCCACAGGCCAGGGCTGGCAAGGGCATCGCGGCCGCGACGCCGAGGCCTCACCCAGCCATGGTGAGGCCGACCTCGCCGTTGCCACCCAAGCGACGGACCTAGGTCACAACGGTGAGGGCCGCGACGCCCTTTACTGCGACAAACCAAGAGAACAGAAGGGAAGGGAAAGAAAGAATAAAAAAAAAAGAAAAAAAAAAGAAATAATATTAAAAAATTCAAAAATTATTAAAATATTATTAATTAAAAGAAATTTTACCAAACCCATTTATGTTCTTTTTCTATTCTAAGAATAGAAATTTTGAGCAGTTACCAAACGCCTTCAAATGCTTAGAAATTGTTCCCGGACACGGAATAAAAAAGAATCATTTCTGAGCAGAATCAGTTCCCGAGTACAGAATCGTTGCCATGCACACCCTAAGTTTCTTCTTTGCAAATTCAAGAACAGGTTTGGACATTGAAGGTCAAATTCCTTGAAAGCTGGGGAATTGAAGAAATGTACACTTAACTTGATTAATCTAGAAAAAGATGTGCCAACAGTCTATTCCTTCCCAAACTCTTTAATCCTTTTCACATTTGGAAGGACTATAACTCGGCACACTATGATCTAGAAAACACACGAGAACCTAATACACAAATAAAACCCGAACCCGAGCAGGTTAGCTAATAATTTAGAACCCACAAATTAATAAATACAAGTCCAGAGACGTGGCAGCATCATTCAGGACAACGGTAGGCCCTTTACTGCGACAAACCAAGAGAACGGCATACCGTGGCGTTGGGCACTATTAGGGTGATCTATACACAAGTTGGGCGTGATGATTTGGCAATCCGAGACGGTCGGGGAAGGGGACTCAATCAGCTCTTCGATCGCCTCAAATTTCTGTTTCCAGTTTTCTTCGAGCATGTTCAGGAAATTCTCCAGTGCTCTGCGCATCCACTCGTAGCGGCAGAGTTCAAATGCTTCTTTTACACATAGCTGTGGATTACCATTAATAACTGAGTCAAAGGCTCCAGCAAAGAAGCAATGTGAATATGGAGCTTAATTTTAGTGATTGCATAATATCGGTCAAGTGATCACAAGCTTTAAGGGGATTGCAGTCAACAAGAAAGAATTATTTGGCTCGGTCAACAAGTTTTGAGACGAGTGCAGAAGGCAATTTCCACTAGAACCTTTAATCAACTATGTCCCCAACTCGAACCAAGATATTCAAACATCCTAAGTATGATACTCTGCTTTGGGTATGAAAATTTGAGTTTCCAAGAAACGCTCACCCATCTCCTATCACGATTTTCGCGCTCTGGCCACGTCTCTAGCTCCTCAGTGACCTCCAACGCAAACATATAACCTTTGCAGCCTCCTTCTAGACCGCACATGTCCTGGCTGCTCTTACTTCGGAATTCCCAAACCCCCAATGGTGTGTCCTGAACGATGAGAAATATTAGTGATGTGTCAGATAGTACAAGGTGGAAACACGCCCCAAGAACTACCGAGTACTCATCATGTGCTCTTACAATTACAGTTAAAGCAACCATACGTCTGATAAGGTAGAATTGCCCGCAAATGAAGATTTCATATCAGATAATTTTTGTGGCACATTGGATGAAAAGCCTAGTTTAGGTAATTCTTCCCAGCTTTTGGCTTCTTTTACGATAAGCATGTCTCGGGTGACTGCCAGGCTTCTCAGACTTTTCCATACAAAGAAGAAGGTCCAAAAGATGAAAATAACTTACACTGAGCTTTCCTTTTACTCCCGCTTCCTCCAAAGCTTCACGACATGCAGCTTCTTCAAGAGTTTCATCATCCTCCCATCCACCCTGAAAATAAAAAGCAAATATCTCTCTTAACAAAAACAGAACACAAGAAAACGATGAGTACCGATGTCTTGAGACAAATTATACCTTTGGAAAGACTAGATCGTCACGATTTGGTGACGAGATCATAAGGACTTCGATTTTGCTTTCCGAGCTATCGGTCTGACAGTCATTTCCTTTCGTGAGGCGGTAGGGAATGCATCTGTTACACATATTTATCTATAAGTAACACTCCCCAATGGACGCTGAGTTTTAAAGCATTAAATTGCAAGGATTATGCACCGTGTCAATAAAAGTGCATACAAGAACTTTCCAATCACAAGATCTCTCGCAACCAATGATAAACGATGATCTACTAATGAAAGAAATATGGGATTCAAACAGATCAGGCAACTTGCTCCAGTTGATCAGAACTTATATTATCTTTCAGAATTAAAAGTCGAGCAGCTAATTCAAATTGCCATCATAAAACAGGATTGAGTCTAACTACAGATCCCGAGGCTCTTCTGCTTAAGGAGAAAGGGAAAACAAACATGTCATGGTGCGGCACGCTACGAACCCTGACGTCTTAGCTTACAAGACAGGATGGATCCACGTCCTTAAAACTTTAGATAATTGAGTTTGCGAACTCAATTATCTAAAGTTTTAACTTTTGTCTGCAGCAAATTGCTTCACAAGCCGGTCTTTATATCCCGAGTGACTCAATTTCCATTTCTGGTTTACTTTACTTTCGTAACTACTTAGGAAATACCATCGTTTTTAGTCTTTGCAAAGCGTGAACGCACGTAATCCAATGGAAACTTGCACAAATTGCTTCAATAATGTTCTATGCTTTATCTGTTTTTTCTTGCCTTCCCAAAAAGAAACCACACAAGTGAAAGTACTAGCTCAATAGAGCCTCCCCCAGATGGGAACGCACTGCACGTCCTTGTCCATATAATGTAAAAGTCATCGCACAGCATATTGTCATAAAAAGTCAGTGTCAGTGCATGTGGAGTGCCTAGATATCGGTTATTTCTAAAAGCCCTAAGTGAGGATGACTAGACCTTTGAAAGCGACAACCAAGATAAACAAATTGAGGAAACAATTATTGACGCGGTAAATTTCCCCTTAAAAAATGAACTGAAACACTAAAGTCAAGTTCACGTCACCGTCTGCCCCCATATATCATGTCTATAGATAAAGAAAGACATTAAAGATCTGCATTTCCCGTTTGCCCTTTTTCTTAAACAATGTCTGTGCCGAGCACGATTAATTTGATCCTCGTATTCCACGCGTAAGACAAAAACTGTCAGGCGTAGTTTTTTGCAGGAAGTGGTCTAACTTACAAAACCTACAGATACGATACACGCACAACGAGTTTGCGAGCGTGCGTGCGTTAAGTCAATGATAATACCCATTCTTGATCAAATTACAATAGTAGATAAGGAGCAGGTGCGTCATCCTTCCTTTTTGTCTCTCTCTTTTTGGCCAGTTGAATGTAGGAATCCAAGTTTTATACGTCGTATGACTGACCATCATACCATACGAAGTTCTGTAGATGCTTTTCATGCGGACACGCTCTGAATTTTCTCAGAAATATCAAGGAAAATTCAATTCGAAACTTCCCATCACACAAAACAAAAAGATATTCGACCAAAATGGTGAGCTGGGCATCACGATTTCATCAAATTTCAGCAGCAATTACTCAGTGCCACCAAAAAAAACGATCGCACATAAGCATATCAGGCAAACTGTTCATGTCGATAGAACAGAGGAGAGGTTGCACCAGCAAATAGGAAACGTTGGCATACCCAGAAACAAGCCGCAAGTTGTTCTCGTAACGCTGTCGGTGTCGGCCTATTCGAGCCAGCATTGTTGACATGTTCGCCCGGCACAAAAATCTTCAAGAAAAAACAAGAGTCAATAATTCACTAAAACTCACCGAACAAGCAGCCGCAAGAATCTCTGAAGCGTGAAAAGCCAAAACAAACGGTACCCAATCGAACCCCAACAAGACCCATCAACCCAAATAACAGAAAACGCAAAGCAATCGACGAAAGCAGCACGAAGGAAATACCGAGTTCTCGTCTTTCTTCCTGGGGTTCGCCCCTGTCCGAGCCCAATGCGGAAGAACGACGAGAGCTCTCGAAGCCGCGCGCTCTCCGAATCACAGACCCCAACAGAACAAAAAGAAGGAAAAAAAAAAAAAACAAGAAAGAACGGGAGGAGGAGGAGGAGGGAAGACGACAAATATCCTCGAATCCTTTCGGAACCACGACGCGCTCGCTGCTTAACTCAGTCCACGTCGCGATCTAAGAATTCCGTTCCCCATCCACGACCGGGTCACGGCAAACGAGGCGAAGAGGCTTGAACGGACGGGACAAAGTTCGCGCGTCCTCTGTCCTTCTCGGACCAGTTCAAGCCCCCCGGCGGAACCACAAGCGGACAAAAAGAAAGGAGGAAAGAAGAAAGGCAATGAAGAACAAGACACGACAAAGACGACGACGACGACGACAACAAAAGAAGGAGGAGGAGGAGGAGGAGGAGGAGAAAGATGGAAGCCTTTCGCCTTCTTGGGGGGCGAAAACGATGAGCAAGAAACGAAACGAAAGAGGGAGGAAACGAGGAAGAAGGAGGAGGAGGAGGAGTGGCGACGGAGAGGGCGAGGGATTTGCGCAGGGCGACGGTTGCAATTTATAACGATTGGCCCGCTTGCTGGAGAGCGCAGGGGGGGGGCTCCGGGACCCGAACGTGCGAAGCGGTCGTTATTTTTGTTATCCCTCTATTTCATTTTTTAGTTTTATTTTTTTTTTAGTTTTTTGGTGTTTCTTTTTTTGGTCTTTCCTGTTCTGTTTTGTTCTGACCAGATGATGCTTTTGACTTTAACCGGCGCGGGTGAGTTTTTTTGCAAATTTTCTTCTTCTTTTTTTTTTTATAAAATTAAAATAAAATTACATGGCTTTCTTGGATTTTTCAACTCTTTTATTATTGTTATTATTATTGTTATTATTATTATTATTATTTTGATGTGTACTTTTGTAGAAGCGTTCTGGCGGGGAAGCGAAGAGCGGTCGGCGACCGGCGCCGAAATCAATCCCTTGGGGCAATCGCTATCCCACAACCAATCTTGTCCGCCAACGAAATCCAAACCCATTGGACGAGTTCAATGCTCCGTGTCTCGGAAAATAATTACAAAGCCGGGATGAAAAGTCACCAGAAACTCCAAACTATCCCCGCCGTTACGCATTTATGCTGAACTTTTTTCAGTGAAGCCAAAAAATCGTAAATCTGTACCCGTGCGACATATTTACCCTCTGCCGAGCACCGTTAAAAATCTGCCTAGATGGACATTCAAAAGCAAGTGGTGCTGACATGGCGCCCACGTGGCTTAGGTGATATAAAAACGACGTTCTGGCCGAAAAATCATCCGACAGAATCTTGACAAAGGGTAATCGTGTCGTATTGTTACAAATTTGGAGATTTTTTATGTCACACGAAAAAGTTTAGAATACACAATTGACATAATTTGTGGTTTTTTTATATCACAAATAAAATTCAGGGTAAATGTGTCATAGTATGCATAATTTGGAGTTTTTTGTGGCTTTTTTCCTTACAAAAATAATATGAGTGAGTGACATGGCAAATTGAAGTGAATATATAAAACGGCCATGTTCATTATTCTGTAGAAGCGCGTCGCCTCCTCCTCACTTTGATAACAATTCCTACTGAATCGGTCAAGTTCAGTCCGAGCTGTTCGAGCACAATTCGAGAAGTTATTCTGAGCTCGGCACCGTGATGTTAAAGGTGAATGGGGTAAGTTTATTTTCCGTTCGAACGCCTATTTTAGTTTGTATGTTTTAGCCACTTCCCAAGGTCGATACCTTAACTCCTCACGGTCTCGACCAATTTGATTCTTCATTTCAAACTTTATATGCCTTCGTGAGGTTTTTAACATACGACCATATATTTCCTAATATTAATTTCTACAATTTCAAATATCATATGTTGTTATTGATGAAATTATTTTCAGGCCAGATTTGCCCGGCCTTGTCCAAAGATAATGTGGCCTAGTTAAATCTATGGCCATAAAATTGTGCTTCGAGCCAAAATAAATCTCCCTAGGTAGTAATAGCCCCATCATTAATCCTACTAACGTGTGCCTTCAGGGCACTTGTTAAGTATGCTTGATGTGAAATTATTCAATCGTGACAGCACTGATTATGTAAAATACGAGGACAGTCATCAATGCATTGAAAACTACAGAATTTGCCTGATCGATTACTTAACGAGTGTTTGTAGAGCACTCTTTAATCAAATCTAATAGTTTATCATTCGAAAGTTTAGCTAAGGGTAATAATGTCAACACAACACGTACAATAGGCGATGGATACCCTTCAAATACATTAATACGATATACCAAGAAAGAAATCCATGACCCTTCATCACAAACTATCACGTGTCAATTGTTGAATGGTCGGCCGCCCCACAAACTCGCGAATGCTCCTACGTTTGATACGCTGCTTAAATAGATGTATGGCCTTCTTAGTCGATAGGTTGTGGGTTCGAGTCCCAGCTCTAGTGCCTCCAATGTCTTTATTTTATTTTTTTTGGTTTTTGTCATTTGTTTTTCAAAAATGTCTCTTTCCTTCTCTTCCCAAACAAATAAAAAACAAATGACATTATTGGTAGAAGTGTACTTTTAATTCTTTTTTTAATATTTCAAGTCAATTCCTTATTGTATTATTTATGAGTTTATATTCTATGTGTCTTGCAAATTTATTTTATTCATGATCCATTGAAAATATTATGAATGAAAATCAAAATCATGAGAAATTGGAATGCTGTGATATCATTGGTAGATGATACTATTAATCCTAGTTTTAATCATTAGAAAGTCTAACCCAAAAGCTTAAACTTTTAGGCCGAGGGAGACCACGTTAATATAAATAAAGAGCATATATAACCCATCGGAAAATGATATTGGACAATATTTCAATGTTAATTATATACAATTAATTTCAAGTAAAACACTCATTTAAAGAAAGGAAATAATGTTGAAGTGACATGTTGGCCCAAAAATGTGTCAAGCACAAAACTTTTATCTTTTTTTTCGTGGCATCAATGAGTCAGATTATAGTATATTAAAAAATGAGTGACAAAGTTCTACATGTACTAGAAATTCACCAATAAGGTGTTGGCTTAGATTATAAGGACTTTACTCTTCTCATTGTGATCTTAGGTTCAAGCCTTACTGGAAGAACTTTGAGACTAAAGTCCCGATTGCACCAGGCCAATGTGGGCGAGTGCTCCCTTAAAATCGTTCGGGAGGTGGACTAAACAAGGGATTTAAAAGCTAGCTCCGACACCACCTAATCGCTAACAAATTGTACTCCTCCATTATCCTTCATAAACCCACAAAAATATGATTACTTTGAATTTTGCTTGCCCTATCATTGACATGTTCCATTACTCAAATAATGCAACGAGTGTATTATTTAAGTACACTTGCACAAGCTTAATCCATGTGAACCAAAGTCTTTGGGTGACCACATTGTATGAAAATGTCGCCTTCTGTTGCAGCTACATACACACCAACAGAAGCTCGATTCACATAGATAATTGTCCTAAAAAATTATATGCATCTCTAACATCCTCTATTGCTCTCTGGCATGATTAAGTTCAGCGCACTTTATCCGCCTCAGGATTGACTCCATAATAAGGGCATTCTCATACTTTTAGCTCGGTATCTGATAGTTGTAGGTTCGATTTCTGCCTGGAAAACTCAAATTTAAGTAGGAATTATGGCGGTGGATTATTGTGCTAGTCCTCCTCCAAGTAGTCGGTTCATGTAATGTTGTCCCTGGGTAAAAAAAAAAAAAGCTCAATGCACTTTTCATAACATAATGGACAAAATCGAACCCATGTTGGGAGAATCCTAGTTGCAAGAGGTTGCGTAAGATTTTTTTTAATTGCTCCTTTTTTTTGGTCCCATGACTTTATTATATGAATTGGATTCCTCTATAATTAAGAGGATAAATATACCTAATAAATATATCTCTAAAGACTAAAATATTCTCACCTTTTGAGAAATTTACACGAAGGACCGCACACCTAAACAAAAAGAGAGAAGAACAAAATAGCGACGACTGATCTGGGTATCCATCTACTCAGCAGCTGATGTGTCTAGATTTTAGGGGGGTCAATTTATCTAAAATCAAAAAAATGTTAAATTTAGAGGATCTCAATCCTTATTATGTAATTATCGATGTCTTCCAAGAACTTAATGCCATTTCCTTGTTAATAGTATTTTTTTTTCCTAATATTTCCAACGAAAGTTAGTAATTAGGTCGCATAACCTTATGTGAACAAACCAATCTCTTTCTTCAATTATGTACTTAGTTTATAAAGGAAGATGGCCTGAGGAATTGGGGATTTGCCACGTGTATAGGGAAACCACGTCTGAATGCGAACTCCATTTGGTCAAAATGAACACGAAAAGATGTATGTTCTTAGGCTTGTCTAAGTTTTGCTTTCTCCTCTCCACCTCCCAATAACCTATCAAACACGATAGGCAAGGTGAATGCGATGGGCGATGGATGTGTAAATAGACCGATTGGCTATCTTGTGTGCTAGCACACAAGATAAGTCAAGAGCTTATAGAGTCAAATTCCGAAAGGACCGACCTTAGATCTATTTGAATTAACCTGCACATGTATCACGAATTTAAGGTCAACTTGACCCAACCATCACAAGAGAGACACGCATAGGTGCTTTTGTTATCCAGTCTACTTCATCATATCCGATCTTTTAAAAAAGAACAGAGCATCAACAGTGGGCCAAAAAGAAAAAAAAAACACACAATGTGAACATTTAAAAAGGCCGACTATCATACCACTAAAAGGCGAACTTTTTCCCATATAACTCGAGGACGTGAGAGCAGAGACTGACTATCTGGAGGTTCGTGGAAAGCCAAACAAGCTTCACAAACCGATTAAATCTGAAGCTTTAGTCTTTGTAGGTGGCATTGACCTAGAGCAATTTGCATAAAGTCGGTGAGATTTGTCCTTCCCCTAGAATGGTAAACTCTCTTTCATGTATGGAAGAAAAGTGAGAAAGTAATGCATGAATTACACTTAACCGAATTTGGACAACTTCATCTCATTTGGGTCTCGATCAGATCCAACCGTCCAAAGAGTTTACCGAATATACATACTAGTTTCACCGGATAATCGCCTTAGAAAAAAACAATTTGGCCATCGCACACAGACTTCTAGGGTTATATAATAATCTCACATTCGGAAAGATCAAACTTTAAGTACCCCACTTGTACAAGAAGAAGTAAATTTTGCTGCTTCCTAGGGTTCTCTCTTTCTCTATCTCTCAAAAGGACCGTCCCGCACGTTCTCTCGCCATTCGTGACGTGAATTGGAGGTGGTCTGGTCTCATGGGTGACATTATGCCCCACTAATTCATCAAAACCCACTACTTTTTTAATACTCTTGTGTCCCAAGTAAACCAAAGTTGAAGAAAGAAAACACGAGTTCAAATGAACAAGTTAAAACACATGCAGATACACAACGAAATGCTGAAGACGACTCGAGCTTAC